TTTCTTTCCATCTCATCAACGTCTACATGCGTAAGCCTTAAGAAACAAATAAAAACCGCATTAGATAAAAAGAATCCATAGAAAATAGACAAATACATTGTGTCAGACATTTCTTCTCGGATATTTTTCTGCGCATATCAAATATGGTTATTGTCTAAAAATTTATTTAACTCTTAAAGAAAACATACCCGTTGTGATTGATCCTGGTCTGGAATCTCGCCTACAGTTACTTTCTCACAGACTTGCCGTCCCTCTGTCTTTTCTACAAGTACTTTCACGGTAACTGCTCCGACGAGCTATTTTCGCTGGTACCCAAACTGCTTGAACTTAAACGTGCTACTAGGTCGTCATCTCAGTCCCATCCTTTCACTGTCGAAACGGTTAAATGCAACCGTATCTTCTACTCCAATAGCTTCATGTCTCGCACTTCTCGTCTGTGGAACTCCTTTCCTCTTATTTGCTTCTCTGGCAGTTATAGTCTTCAAATATTCAATGTAATGTCAATCGACATCTTCTGATGCTTTGATCTAACTCCACGTCCTTCTGTTTATCCTTTCTTCAATCACGTCTCTTTTCTCTTGCTCCCACACTCTGTAATCCCTTGCGCGCTAATGACACTCCCTCCTTGCTTGGGGTGAAAAGCTTAAATAAAGAAAAAAAAAGATAAATATTGACTAAGATCACTTTGACTGGAAGCAAAAAGAATATTCATAAAAATAAAAATGTTTAGATTTTTATTTTGTTTTAAATTTGCATTGCATGTCATCCATTTAGTTTTCCCCTTTTCCAAATTTTAGTAATAGAAGTTGACGTGTCCGGGACGTATAATGAGGAAAGACAGCATGGAGAATCTAACACTCACAGGATATATTGAATGTAAGTATTGTATCCTTAAAGAGGTTACAAACAAAGGTGGTACTCGAGTGAAAGGAACCGCAACACGGTCGTAGATGAAAGAAAAAAAAAAGGTTTATTGTGAACGAGAATACACTACTGAAAGACACTGAATTGGTTACCAAGCTAGTAATTCCCGAAGCGACGATATCCACGTGGTCAGATGTGGCACAAGGCCGAATTTAATGTGGGGGTATCCAAACCCGTAGGACGATTCGCCCAGTGATGTTCATCTGCCACTGGTCAGAAGGAAACTGCCAAACTTTTTTTTTAGATTTTTGCTATCCCCAAAGATAGTCACGTGGGTTCTCTTCGTCCTTGACCGCGTATACAGGAGGATGGGGCGCATATCACGCAGTGTTTACGTCACGGCCAAAAATTCAACCGACCCTCTGTAGGGTCTGATCACGTGAATCGCAGCAGGAAATCCTGATGGTGCCTGGAATTCGGTTACGGTCAACCGCCTGATAGCTGCGGGATTGTGAACCAAGTCATTCTCGCGTCGGGTCGCTTCAAAGTTCACGGGCCCTTGGCTTGTGAGTGGAAGAGTAGATAAAGAGGGAAAGAATTTATGAAGAGAAGAGGAGGGTATGGCTGATCATAGAACATATTCGCTCACAAGTTGAAAGCTTTGGATTAAATTTCTATTTTTATTTATTTATTTTTTTATATCTAACTAATTTTTGACTAGAATTTGGAATTTTTCTTTGGGGGTGATTTTTAGCTTTACGCTTATATGGCTAATGAAATCGTAGATACGTCACAAGGAAAAATTGAATTTCAACCCGTGAGTAATGTTATATGAATAAACCACTCAACTATCTTTCCCAAGAAGCCATGGTAATTCATAGATATTAAAGAAACGGAATCACTTTGGAAGGAAGTGAGAAATCACTTCACTATCATTTAAGACAATTCATAGATGCAAAAAAAGGAATCTGTGGAGAAAGCAACGGAAAACCACTCCACCATCTTTCCTAATACGTCATGGCAATTCATAGATTTTAAATAAAGAATCTGTATAGAAGGCAACGAAATAAAGAAACAACTACACTACATTTTCCTACGAAGCTATAGAATTCATAGAATTTAAATAAACGAATCTGTGGAGAAGGCAACGGGAAACTACTCCACCATCTTTCCTAATACGGCATGACAATTCATAGATTTTAAATAAAGAATCTCTATAGAAGGCAACGAGAAACAACTACACTACTTTTTTTCCCTACGAAGCTATAGAATTCATAGAATTTAAATAAATGAATCTGTGGAGAAGGCAACGGGAAACTACTCCACCATCTTTCCTAATACGGCATGGCAATTCATAGATTTTAAATAAAGAATCTCTATAGAAGGCAACGAGAAACAACTACACTACTTTTTCCTACGAAGCTATAGAATTCATAGAATTTAAATAAATGAATCTGTGGAGAAGGCAACGGGAAACTACTCCACCATCTTTCCTAATACGGCATGGCAATTCATAGATTTTAAATAAAGAATCTCTATAGAAGGCAACGAGAAACAACTACACTACATTTTCCTACGAAGCTATAGAATTCATAGAATTTAAATAAATGAATCTGTGGAGAAGGCAACGGGAAACTACTTAAATACCATCTTTCCTAATACGGCATGGCAATTCATAGATTTTAAATAAAGAATCTCTATAGAAGGCAACGAGAAACAACTTTACACTACTTTTTTCCTACGAAGCTATAGAATTCATAGAATTTAAATAAATGAATCTGTGGAGAAGACGACAGGGAACGGAAACTCATACTTTTAAATAAAAATCACCATCTTTCCTAATTTTCCGGCATGGCAATTCAAATAAATGATTTTAAATAAAGAATCTCTATAGAAGGCAACGAGAAACAAAACACACTACATTTTCCTACGAAGCTATAGAATTCATAGAATTTAAATAAATGAATCTGTGGAGAAGGCAACGGGAAACTACTCCACCATCTTTCCTAATACGGCATGGCAATTCATAGATTTTAAATAAAGAATCTCTATAGAAGGCAACGAGAAACAACTGCACTACTTTTTTCCTACGAAGCTATAGAATTCATAGAATTTAAATAAATGAATCTGTGGAGAAGGCAACGGGAAACTACTCCACCATCTTTCCTAATACGGCATGGCAATTCATAGATTTTAAATAAATGAATCTGTGGAGAAGGCAACAGGAAACTACTCCACCATCTTTCCCAAGAAGACAGAGCAGATGTTAAAAAGGGGAATCTGTAGAGATGTTTGCCTTCGTCCTAAAAAATAAAATTAAATTAAAAAATTAATCAAACGTTACCTAGAGCAACGAATGAAAGAAAGTTGTGGAGAGTCATGATCTCTTTGTCCCTAGAGAGAAACGGCACGTAAATTAACGTCATAGAAATAAAGTAATAAGCAATATGATTTTATTCCATAAATGCTGAGTTACTTTTTGTAAAATTATGTTTTTCCCTCGAAGAGATATTAGACGATATTTATCATAATGTCTGCTTTTAAGTGTACAATAAAATTTTAGTCACTTTTTCATCTACTAATAATAGATGACCATAATCTGTGGTTTAAATAACATGTTCGACTATAGTAATTTAAATCCGTATGCAAATAGCAACTAGAAACCACTTCAGTATCTTTCCTAAAAAATGCCTGGGATTTTACGAATTATAAAGAAATAGAACCTCATGAGTGACATGAAAAGCGCAGAAAATAGAAACTACAGGCGGTTTTCAAAAGCCAGTTGAGTTTGAGATCGTTTTATATTTATAGGCTAAATAGCAGAGCAAACATGGCGCGTTCGCCTTCACTGGTAACTCGTCTATAAGAAAACTGAATTCTAAACAGTGAAAAAGGCAAACCGTAACGATTCTGTTAACTTACCCCATTGAATACTGTTGCCTTATTTGGTCTGATGCTCCTGCTGTATATTTTGAGTCTTGACAAAATCCAAAGAAAGATCTGTAAAGATCCTGACCAAGTATCTCGACTTCAATCACTTTCTCACCGATGTGACGTGGCTTTCCTCTGTCTTTTCGACAGATATTTTCATGGCAATTGCTCTGACGAGTTTTTTTTTTTCCCTGAATTTAAGCGTGCTACTATATTGGTAACTACGTCCCACCCTTTTACTGTTGGAATAGTTAAATACAAACGCCACATCTACTCCAACAGTTTCATTTCTAGCACTTCCCACCAGTGTTATAGTGGAACACACCTATTCTATAGTTAATAGACTCTCCCACCTATAATAAGTAGGAGTAGTAGGAGTCGCTCTGGGAGTTGGTAAGTCAGTCGACTGGCTGATCGGTTGAATTCTCTGCCTTCAGGCGGGGAGGAACCCGAAGGAGACGACGCCGAAGGGCGGATTCTCTTTCGGGAAGGTAAACCGACCCTGAACCCGTTTATAATGATTCAATGGGCATATTTTTGGCCGAGCCCACGCGCTTGGAGATCCCACGTTAAACCGGCCTTGTGCCACATGATGCCCTCGTGGGGTGGGGGACTGAATATCGTTGGTCAGTCAGTCGATGTCGGCCGACCGGCTGATCGGTTGAACTCTCAGCCTTCGGGCGGGGAGGAACCCGAAAGAGGCTACGCCGAAAGGCGGATTCTCTTTCGGGGAGGTAAACCGACCCTGAACCCCTTTATATGGGTTCAATGGGCTTATTTTTGGCCGAGCCCACGGGCTCAGAGATCCCACGTTAAACCGGCCTTTTGCCACATGATGCCCTCGTGGGGGGGTGACTAAATATCGTTGGTCAGTCAGTCGATGTCGGACGACCGTTAGTCGGATACTAAAGTATCAGCCACCGCAACTAGATTACTGCGTCATTACCTATTATGTCAAGTTCCTAACGTTTTGTACGTCGAACCTATTTTAGGACCGACTTAGTACAAATACAAGCCTCCACTGTGTAACCACTCTACAACAAACTCTTTTCCACTTCCTTGCTTTCTTGATAACTACAATCTTCAAAAATGTAAATGGAATGTCAATAGCCATCTTCTATCTTCTTGAATCCCGTTCATGTTTTGTCCTCTCCTGAATCCTTCCTATTGCCAGTCTTCTCTTTCCCTTACATTCCCTGTAACCC